CCCGCCCGCCCGGCCCGCGCCCCCGTCCAGGCGTGGAAGCTTCCATTCCCGCCGGAGGGGGGTCCGGCGCGCGGCCCCGGCGAAGTCGGGGAGTTCGCGGGGGGAGGGGACCCAGGCCCGGCATTACCATTTTGATTGCTTTGATGCCATTTTTGGAGGGGGAGGGGTTGGAAGACCCTTCGCTGAGCACAAAGATGTTTAATCGCTGTGTAGAATCAAATCAGATACTTTATTATTATTATTTTTTTTTTTAGAAAAAAAACCGCATCACCAAATCCGGTACAGTGTGATAGCGAGGGATGCTAAGCCCTTTTTCACTGGGTAGAACGACAAGTTGTTGACTCTTATGCTCTGAGTGGAAGATTTAAGAGAGAGAGGGAGGGAGGGAGAGGGAGAGAATCCAGTAATCCACAGCATTTATTGCAACAATGTCTTTATGTGTGCTTCTACATGGCAATAGTTTTACTATTTGGAGTGGCTTTTCTGGGCTTGGGTTTGATCATTTCTTCTGTGTTGTAGCAACTGTTTCAAGGCTGTTTAAAATTTTATGATGATAGTAAATGAGTAGCTATTTATTATCTGTCATGCCGGAATTTCGATGAGGCTGAGAGAAACATTTGAAATTGTGTTTGGAGGCTCCAGTGCAGCGTCGGGGAAGGAGCTTTCCTACTCCAGGCTGTCTTTGCCTTTAAATTTGAACTCGGGGAAGGAGAGATGCTTGCGAATGGAATGTACCTCCATCTTTTTGTGTGTGTTGAGTGTGTGTTCAGAAAGAAAGGAAACAAGGAAAACTTTTGTTCTCTGGCCTTTTAAAAATGTTTCTCTTTTAAATGACTAAATATAACATATGGTAAGCAGCCAGCCTTGGGCCTGGCCATCGGAACTTGTGTTTGGAACTGTCTGTTGTTTTTCCTTTTCCCTTTGTGGCATTTTATATAACAAGGGCTCATAAAAGAGGGAGGGGAGGGGGCCGAGGCCGTGGAGCAGCATGCTAATAAAGCTGCCTTGTCTCTCCCGAGCTCTGCGGTGAAATCTTTCAGAGGTCACCTATGAAATGAGTTGGGTAGACTTAACATTTACTCGTCTCTCCCTCCTTGGGAGAGTTTGGTGGTGATTGGCAGCTCGGCTGGGGAAAGGTCCATGAACAGGCTCTTTGGAGGTGATTCTGGGCTGCACCCAGGGTCTGGAAGAGGAGCAGCGGGGGCTCTGCTTGGTCACCTCGGAGCCTGCCCTGGAGTAGCAGAAATGTGGGAGCAGGTATGAAAAGGCCAGTATTTTAGAGTTTGTTTTTGTCTCAACATAAAATTAAAGGTAGTGCTCATTTATCGATTTGCTTGGGAAGAAATTCATACCATTTACACTTCCAGAGATGTGTTTTTGTGCTGCTCCTGCTTGGAATGCGGGATGTAAAGGTTAAGTTTCAATTAAAAGTGCATACGTGGATGGTGAACTAGATAGTAAAGCAAACGGATGACCCCATTATCCGCATCTGTTAGAAATACAATAGCAGCTGAGTAATATCTTTTGGTGCCCAGCCATCACTTTCCCATTCACACCCTTGACACTGGAATTTTTTCAGTGATTTCTAGAAACATGGACAAGTGTTTAAAGATGTTTATCAAGGACTCGCAGAAGTAAATAGGTTGGTTGCCGGTCAGAAGTAGAGAGATACAAATCCTGTATAACTCTCCAGTGTCTCCCACCATTGGTGGACTAGGGGATAAACAGGAAACCAGCTTCCATAGGACCTCACTGTTTGAAAACGGAGTTCATATTTTTTCCTTTAAAAAAAAAGAAAAAGGAGGTGTGGGGAGTTGGTCAGAGCTGAGTTTTGGCCAGGCTGCATTCCCAGGTGTGGCTGCGCCTGGCTGCCAGGTTTTGAATTCCAGTGGAGGACGGACCCCTCGTCTTTAACGACATGTGATGTGTGAAGACTCCATTAGTTGCTCCAATGGTTTTACGCCATGAATTTGCAGCACATGCAGAGAGGCAGTAACATTTTTATCTAAATTGTCAAGCAACAAGCACTTCCGTGTAAATAACAGACCCATCATGAATACTGTGTTTTTTTGTTTGTTTGTTTGTTTGTTTTCCTTCCCTCTTTGGAGTTCTCAGCACGACATTTAAGTGTCACATGTAGTGGGCATTTCCAGACCTGAACTTCATGAAGTTCAGCTTCACCACAGAGGGAGAAGAGCCTTCTGTGTTAACTGCAGCCCGGGCTGGTGTGGCCTTGTGAGAGAGAGACCCCCCAGAGGTGAACTTGGGGCCTCTTGTGCCGCTCGATCCATCGATTTGATGGACTCTGGATTCCGAGGGGCTGTCCTTAAGTGCAGCCATAAAAATATGTCTTCTTGAAAGGTTTTATGTATGTGGCATGCACCCGGGCGCTGAATCATGTCTTCACTGTGATTCACTAGCTGTGGTGGACACCAGAGGGACTTTGCCTTGGCAGTATCCACCAAACGAAATTGCAGGCTGGGTTTTATTCCGAAAGCTCCCGATTGTTTGCAGTCCTTTGGTAAAAGGACATGCCATTTTCCAAGCTTTCCTTCAAGGCTGTCCCTATCCAGGAGGGTAAATTTTCATCTTCCTGACTTTGAGTGGAAGTTGTCATGCTTCTGATAGCATCATTATGTGCTAAAGAGAAAAGTGTCCCAAAGTTCCACGTTCCATCCCCTGCAGGGAAGAGTATGGACTAGGACAGCAACCCCCAGCCCTGGCTTGCCCACCACCACCCTTACCCCCCAACAGCCCATGTCCCTCCCACACTCACCTGAACCCTGTTCCTGGAGTCCCTCTTCCTCTACCCGCCCCCCCCCACCACTCTGGCCCCTCCTCCATCACCTCTTAGTTGGAAGATTGCAGTAGCCTCCTCACTGCATCCCCTGTAAAAACAAACAAACAAACAAAAAACAAACAAAAAACCCCCACCACCAACAAAACCCAGAACAGCTTTATTGAAGTACAGTTCACCTATCCTATCATTCATCCGTTTAAAATGCACAATTAAATGGGTTTTTTGTGTATATTCACAGAGATTTGCAACTGTCACCACCATCAATTTTAGAACATTTTCATCCCTCAAAAAGAAACCCCCTGGCTCTCACTCGCTGCCCACCCCCGCCCAGCCCTAAGCAACCACTGATCTGCCTTCTGTCTCTAGAGAGTTGCCTATTTTGGCTTTCCTGTGAATGGAATCACACGATGTGCTCTGTTTATGACCAGCTTCTTTCACTGAGCATAATGTTTTCAAGGCTCATCCCAGTGGTAGCAGGTGGTGGCCCTTCATTCCTTTTTGTGTCTGAATAATATTCCATTGTACAGGTAGACCACAGTTTGCTTGGCTGTTCACCAGTTGACGGGCATTTGGGTTGTTTCCTTCTCTTGGCCACACGAATAACATACTGTATCTCCTCTTGCCCCTTCTGGTATGTTCTGCTTGCCCTGCTTGGTCTCCGCTTCAGGGCACTCTCTGCTTGGTTCTGCTTGGTCTCCGCTCAGGGCACTCTCCATCTCCCTCCTGCACATGGCAGCGCTGTCTCTATGGTTGCTTCCAGCAGCTTCTCTGGCACCTTGAGCATTTCCTTGCCTCTAGAGAGTGCTGGCTATTGTCTCTCTGGGATCTTTTCCTGTCTGCTTTGTGCTAGACTGTAAGCTCCGTGAAGGGCGGTGGCTCCATCTACTTTACCTCTGCCCCTATATTCTCAAGGCAGTGCTTTTTAGGGACTGAATGCACATTTGTTGAGCGAGTGGATGACCTTGTCACAAGATGGGCATGAGGATTAGCAGTGATTTACCAAATGGTCCTCACCAAATCCCTAGCCTATAGTAGGCACGCAATAAGTGGCAGGTTCTCATATGTTCGAAATGAGCAGACATAGAAATGAGTAAGACCCACAATTCTCTGCCCTTGGAAACCTCACCAAAGAGTAAGGCATAGATAACCATGTTTCCAGAAAAGTGCTGGGAAAATCACACTGTGGGAACACCAGCGTTGTTCCTGGCCTGGAGACTGAGGATAGCTTCCTGGAGGGGGTTGGGGGAGGGGTCCTCGAGGACACCTGGGGTTGTGGACGGGAGAAACTGGTGGCCAAGCCCGCTAAGGGACGATGGCCTGAAGAAACCTGCAGGTGCTGTGAGCTTTCTGGCAGTAAGACCATGGGAGAGAGCAGAAGAGGGACATCAGAGAAGGCGAGCTGGGGCCAGAGCAAGGAAGGCATCACTCGCCTGGATGGAAGGCCTGGATTTTACACCGTAGGCTTGGAAAGTGCTCACAGATCAAGAAGGGGCAGGAATGGTGCTGGGAGCAGGTGGGAAGGGAGGAGAGAAAAGGAGCCCTGAACTCCCTCCCTGCTTGGCCCAGCCAGGCCATATGAGCTCTTTAGATGTTTGTCCCCTGCATAGGGAGGCTCTCGTATGGACGATGGGACCTGTGCATGACATGGGGGAGGAGGCTGGGAGGCTGCTGGCCCCGTAGCCCTGGGTGACCAGAACTAACAGGCTGTGAGGACAGGGGCACCACTTGGTGATCCTCTTCCTCCTACCTTCACCAGAGCTTAGAGCTGAGGGGTGGAGCTTCTAGACACCTAGTTAGCAACTCTGGTCAGTTGGTTTAAAAAAATGTAAGTGTGTGTATGTACATATACATATATACGTATTTATCAGTTATGTCTGTATTACTGCTTTTATTTTGACTATAAAGTATATGATAAATGAAATAAGTAACAAATGTGTCAGTATGTACCAATAAATATATATATGAAGTGCGTGTAATACGTACATAATATAAGTCAGTTAATAACTTTTCAGGATTACGTACTGAAAATGAGAGGATTTGTTTTTGAACTAAGAAAATAATTACCATTCTCCTGAAGAAAAATCTTAACTAAGGAAGATGGTGATCAATGTTCTTTTTTTTTTTTTTAAAGATTTTATTTATTTATTTGACAGAGAGAGACACAGCGAGAGAGGGAACACAAGCAGGGGGAG